TCGATCAATTGTGATACTTGAAATCAAATTGCAATTCAATTTCGGAACATATAGAACATGTTTAAGTTTCGAGTCCTCCATCAAGGAAAACCGATCCTTCTTTGTTTGCCGACACCAATTCACCATTTGGTAGTCCCACTGGGCACCCTTCCAAGGCTCGACTCTCCCTCAAGTTTTCTAGTGTTCCTGTCATATGATTAGAGGCGCCACTATCAATAATCCACAAGTCACATGCTTTCTTACCAGTCATCTTTTCGAGTTTCATTTGCCTTGCGAGAATTCAACATTCTTCGTCAAGATCTGCCATTGCTCATTACTCGGTCCTGCGACTTCGGTTTTCGGTTGAACCAACGTTATCCGCACCGAGTGTGCGCCATATTGACGTGAGCCGTTCCTCCTTTTCCTCGGAAGGTTCCTGTTCTTTGTTGATTTTTTCATCGTTTTTATCGGTTCGTGGTCTCTCTCCCCACCATTCCGGGTAACCAATGATCTTGAAGCAATTGCCTTTGTCATGTCCCTTCCTTCCACACTTGCATGCAAACAAGCTGATTTTTCTTTCGCTTCATTGCGCAACTTGTTCCTGGTTTCCGCTCGCATAGTCATTCCCACGATCATTCCTCGCTCTTCTTTAGACCTGGTGATTGTTCTCACCCTTTCTTCTTGCACCATGGTGCCATACACCCGATTCAACGAGGGTAATGGATCTGTTGCCAAAACATTTGACCGTGCAGTTCCATAGCCCTCATCATCTAGCCCCATCAAGAACCGATGAATTTTTTCTTCTTCTCTTCATTTCTCAAGTTGCGTCATAATATTACACTTGCATCCCCCACATCTACTACTGTGGGATTTGCTCGTAATTTGCCAGTTCATCCCACAACGTTTTCAACTTCCCATAATAGGAAACCATTGTCATTCCTTGTTGTTTGCATTACGCCAACTCGACTTTAGTCTGTTGGATTCTTGGTCCGTTCACGATCGAGAATCGTTCCTTGATGTCATCCCATAGGTCCTTTGCGTTTTCCATGTATGCAACGGTGGAACGCAAACTAGGTTCTATAGTGTTTAGTATCCAAGATACAAGCATCGATTGAATTGTCCACCAATCTTCTATCTCGGATGTGTCTTCTTCGGGTTCCTTATGAGTTCCATCTATGAAACCCCATTTCCTTCGAGCCACGAGAGATATCTTCACTGCCCTTGCCCATTCCTCGTAATTCTCTCCTCGTAATTGTACCTGTGTAATCACATTTCCGGGATTATCAACGGCACTCGGATCGTATGGCGATGGTGTTTTCTTCACCGTCTCTCCTCTCTCGCCATTTTAGAAGTACGATCTGTGTTCTCGAGTCATTGGATATCGAGTTTGGTTCGCTTCGATACCATGATAAAAATATTTCCAAAAACCCCTCTTGTATTGAATATGATAGCACAATATATACATGAAATACAGAAACATTCTAGGCTATAATTACGCTAACCATTATAGTCGGTATCCTAAATTTGTCTATTAACGAGATATGACATTAATGTGCATCATCGTGCATCATTTGTCATGCCAAGCTAAATATGGAAAAAATTAATCATGTAGAATCATGGCATGATACGGTATTTATAATCGTATATTCTATGTTTATCACAATCATGTCACAGACTTTGTGTTACAGCTCGGATATGCAAATTTAATTATTTATTTCGAACTTTTTCAAAAGTAGGTCAATAAAATACTCCAAATATCACTTTGAGGATAACGTCTTCTTAAGAAAAACGCTATTCTTTTTAGTTATAAATTTTGGTCTTGTCTTCTTCTTTTTTTTCTTCAATAAATATAAATATATATAATTGTTTTTCTATAATTAAAGAGTATTTCTATACTTTTCTACCACACATTATTAAATTTTAAATAATTTGTAAATAAAATATTTTGAATAAGAAGTAACTATATTTAAGAGAGAACAAGCTATGTGAAGACGAGATAAAATCTGATCAAGCTCAAAGATCATTTATGAACAAATTTGGTGGAGAAGTTAATAAACTCTGATATTTCATTGATGTAAAACTCAACAATCATACAATAATATTTAATTAAAACTATGCTAATTTGTTAATGACAACTAAATGGAGATACTTGCATCCATTTTATTCAACGAAGAGTCCCCCAACATACTTAATTAGTATATAGGTAACATCAATGTTTTTTAATTAAAAAATTAATCAATATTGCATTATTATTTAATGAATTTTTGTGTAGATATTGTTAATAGGATTCACCACGTTTATCAGAAAGCCAAGATTCAAGACTTAGCGAGTTTGGCTTGTCACAATTTTTTTAAGGTCATATGTTATTCATTATTTGCGATCATCCATACAAAAGCACCAAAATAGTGAAATTTTGGGAGCGATCTTGAAAGGATCATAATTTATCACAAAGTTAATATATTGATTTTGTATGTGAGGTAAAATTTAGTTCATCTTTAACTGTGTTGATGTTAATACAAGAGAATGTATATTTATCAAGATACATATATCATTTTTTGGAGTATTTTGTTTATGATAAAATTATAAATATATGAAAAGGAATAAATAGAAAAATAGGAATAATAGCTAAAAGACTATATTGATAATTAAAGATATTGAAGATCAATATTAATTAAAGGAAATTATAAAAAAAAGATAAATTTAACATAATATGTTGGATTTAATGGATTGACGGTACATGTTACAAATAATAAGGAAGTATTGAAGGAACATGTAATTCAATAGGGGTTAAGGGATATATTGAGAAATAAATTGGTGTGGTGTGATCAGTTTAACATTGAAAGTTGAAGAGTCAAAGATATCAAGGATCATGGTGCAAGTCGACAAAGATATGACTGAGAAAAATTAACACAATCAAAAAATATGCAGAGACAGTTATTATCTTATTATGATATATGCGCATTAATAGGTGGTACATAGTGATAACCCGGGTTGAAGAAATAGAAGATAATTATAATAAAGTAATTGTGAGTGGATTTTTTTTTTTTTTTGTTCAACTGTATTTTATTTTTATTTTTAATATATTTTTATAGTTTTATTTTATCGGTTACACTTACGAAAGATATAAATAAAGGGAAATACATGTAAACAAAAAGTGATTGTCAATCAAAAAAATTTATGATAAAAAATGCTATCAATAGGGAAACAAACATTTTCAATAAAAAAATTTCAATTTGAATCACTTTTTTTTATTTCTTTATCAATTTCTTATTTATTCTTAGTAAATTTATTTTTCAATCTTTTACTTTCTTCATATGTTTATTTTTCGATAATTTACTTTTATTATTATTTATTGTTCTAAGAATTTACTTTAAATTATTCAAATTATATTAGAAATCAAAACTGCATGTGATTAATTTTTAGTTAAAATACATTACGTTTCAAATATTGAGTAATTGGTACGAAACGAATCCACGTAATGTTTAAATTATTTATCTTGTGTTTTAAAAATAAAACTTATTTAAATCATTTATATTATAAACAACTCATAATCAATATAGAACTTGTGCTTGTATATTAGAACTTTATTTTTTATTTATATTATTTTTTCTTCATAAGAACGTATAGATTTTATTACTCTATTTATTTATTTTTTAACATATACTTACACGAGCAAAATGAAAAATTTAGTTTTAACATAAAATTAGTCGTAAAACCGTACAATCAAATGGTTTGAAAGAAAAATATTATTTTTACATCACTCAATAATTTGTAATTAAAAATTAGTTTAGAACTTGTAGTTAGATCAAAAGTTATTCTTTATATAAATCATATCTTAGAATTTACATTAATGTAACATTATTTTTTATATATATTCATATAAATCAAAATTAATATATTATATAATTTTTAAAAATTTATTAAAATATGATTCATTTGATAACCTTCTTATTATTCTTTATTTTTTCTTCTATAAGAATTGATAAAAATAATATATAATTCAATGATTAAATTAACTAAGATTGCATCAAGATTATTGAATGGTATAATAGTTACAGCAATTGATCCCTTCATAAAAAATAATGTGTTATAATATAATAATTTGAAGCATCGAAAAACAAGAGTTTGAATAAATAATAGTTATATACAATTGAATAAACTTGTTACTTTGAATAAAGAACTTCTGCTATCTTCGTCTTGAAATCCAACTACTAAATTTAAAATTTGTAGATCTTAAAATCTATCGAGAATCACAATGTCAATGTCTGGACTAGAAAAAATGTCCACATCTCAAATTTCTTTATAACTTAAATGTCTGTAGTAGGAAATGAGTATATTTGTATTTACAAAAAAGTTGAAAAAGAAAGGCATATAAAAATTGGGAATCCATCCTTGAATGGAAATACCCTCACATGGCGTCTCCAGATCATTCCTTTGGAACAAAGTTATTTATTAATGCGCATTGTTGGTACTTGCTGTCTTTGAACACTCTCACCTCTTCAAAGTAACCCTAAAATTCACACCTTTCAACTTACATCCTCTCCCACCACTAGGTCTTGATTACCTTCAAAAACTGTGCAGGATACACACACTTTACCAAAACATGAAAATTTTGAATAAAAATGTTTAATGTACATCATCATAAATTAAAGTTTCTGAAGAGTATGAAAGTAATGTATGGGAAGAAGCACAAGCCTCGGAAGCAGCACTGATTGAACGAGCGCAGGCCTCGCAAATTTCTCTCACTTCACACTTTTTCTCTCGTTCACTGGAATCTATCATTAAAATTTTTGTTTCATTATTACTCAAAGATTCCTTCTATCATTTTGTTTTGTTTTATTTATCACATATCGACAAATATAAATAAAAATTTCAAACAATCACTTAAAGTAGAAAAAAAGTACACCCACGATTGAATATTGAATGTCAAAAGTTCAAACATTTGCAGAAATAAAAGAAACACTCGCACAAGGAAAAGAGAAAAGCAAAAGCGATTGAAGAAAGTGACGCACGAAGAGTGCCTAACCGTTGGATGGAAGCTTGTAGTTCTGAAGAGCAACAATGCAGTCCTCAATGTATCGATTGTGAAGATCTGTGGAACTGAAAACCTTCCCCATTTCTTTGGCGTTCTTCCTGTAAATACTCCCTCCCTCATCCACAACTACAAACCTCAATGTCTTAGCCACAGAGTCCCTGGTAAAGGACCCATCTTCCGGGCTCCTTGGCACCTCCATTGCCACTTTCTTTTCCTCTAACACCCTTGAAAACAGGGCTTGGTCAAGCAAATAGGGAAGAGTGACAAGAACGTGTCCAAAATTAAGCATTTCAACGAGAGAGTTGGTGCCGCAGTGAGTGATGCATCCCCCGATAGCTGCATGGCCTAAAATCTTAGTCTGGGGTGCCCAACTCTTCCAAACAAATCCACGATCTCTGGTTCTCTCTTCAAACCCCTCTGGCAACTCAAATGAATCCTCTTTCAGGTTCCTCAAAGCCCAAAAGAAAGGCAACTTGGAAATCTCAATGCCATGAGCCAACTCCGTGACGTCTTCCTGACTCAGTCTCAACTCGCTCCCAAAAGCAATGTACACCACGGATGAGGACTCTTGCTTGTCCAACCAGTTATTGATTTCGACCCAGTCGGGATTTTTGTCTTCCTCTTCATCTTCACTTATATGCATGGATGGTGGAACCAAACCCACCGGAACCACAGGCACTTTGTACTTGTCAGCGACATAATCCAACCATTCTCCTTCGAGTTCTCTGCATGTCCTGAGGAGAAACATGTCACAGCTGGAATACACCTTTCCAAGATCGAAAGTAGCGCTGCGTCCTGTCTCCACATCTTGGCGAGAGAGAATCGCTCTTTCGATTTCATAAGGCCTGAGATGAAGGGTTGTTTGGAAAGGAAACCACGTAGGGTTACACATGTCTTGAAGCGTGAAATTTGAGTTGAGTACTTCCTTGGGTGGATCATAGAACACTTTGTTCCATGCTGCGGTTAGGTTGTAATGTGCACACGGAATGTTGAGGCTCTTGGCTATTGCTGGTAACCACTCAGTTGCAAAATCGTAGAAAACCCAATCAGGCTTTGATGTTTTCAACAAGTCGGAGACAGCATCTTGGAGACCTTCATAAGCTAACTTGAGGTGACAGATCTTTGATGCGGGAATGTCCATCCTGCTCTCTGCACCTTCTGGGAGATGCTCTATGTGTGGTAAGGGTAGGCTCACCAAATTGATGAATGGTTCTAAGGTTTTGGGGATTTTGGGCATGCGATCGATGTTTTTGGGAGTGCTTATGAAGGTAATAAAGTGACCCTTTTGTGCGAAAATCTTTGCCAGCTCCGAATAAGGGTTTACATGCCCCACTGCGAGCCATGGAAGCATTGCAATATGTAGAGGCTTGTGAACATTGTGATTGCCATTAGAGGAATCCATGAACCACTGTTTGCGTTTGATTTGGGTTGGAATGGATAGTTGATGGGTGTTTAGAGTATCCATTTATACTGTCAATACCGACTCACTGGAGCCCATAAAATGATAGAAAATGATACTTTCTTGACTCAAATTGATAGAACTTGTATAAACAATTCTTTTCTAATATTATAATAATAATTTTAATTTATTTTTATTTTTATTAAAAAAAATATACTTTACCAACCTAAATCTATATTACTCTTGTAAATAATTTTCTTTTAATATTATAATAATAATTTTTATATAATTCCTGATTCTCAAAATATTATCATTCTTTTATTAAATTATTTATAATAATAACTTATTTTAAAAATTATATAATTTCTGGATATAAAAATATCACCACCTAATATCCTCCTGTGGTGGTGACTGCACAAGTTACAAGGGAAAATGTTTCTCTGACGACGCTACCATTACACCACTAAATATATTAATATAATAATATATGATATTTCTATCAATCATTCTGCGTTCCAAGTCTTTTTAATTAAAAATTACAATATTTATTTAAAAAGTATTTGTATTCATAAGAAATATGGAGAAAATAAGAATTAAAAATACTTTAAGTACCGTATTTTAATCTTTAAATTTTAAATGTGTAATTTATAAATATACATTTTGATTAATTAAAATTTAATATATTGATTTACGGTATCCTATTCATGGAAAATCCTATTGATTAAATTATAATTAGAAAAATTAAAATTATACTATTGAAAAGAAAATCAAAATTACTAATAATATTTTTAAGCTTACTTTTGGAATGAGGATTGGAACGAGGAATGAAAATTAAAAGAATGAGAATGAGAATGAAAGATAAAGATTATTTATACTAAGATAAAGAGAATAAAAAAGTAAAAAAATTATTGAACGTAAGATTTATTTTATTGATTAAAAAATTTAAATAATAAGGATTAATATTAAACTATCAAAATATCTTTGTAGATTTTAATTAAAATAAAGATAAATTAGAATTGAGATATAATTTAATAAGAATTATTTTACAAAATAAACAAAATTTACATAAAATAAAATTAAGTTATATATAAATTATAAAAAATGTGATATTTTAAATATATATATATATATATATATATATATATATTATTTTTATAATAATTTACAAATTAATATTAAAAAAATTTGTTTAAAAATTCCGTATAATCAATTTTTATATATATTTTATAAAAATTAAATTATTAAACATATCAATTTTTACTTTTTCAATTTCATAAATTTGTATTAAATGACAATGTTATGGATAAAATTTAGAAGACAAAAACTATGTGCTATATTATCTAATTTATCTTTAAAAATAAGAAAACAAATTAAAATTTAAAATTTAAAATTATGTTAGTTATATTGATTTTTAATGTAATTAGTATTTATTATATTATTAATATTGTTTTTGTCAAAAAAAAATAAAAAAATCCCAAGTGGCAAGTTTTGTCCAAAAGGACAAAGGAGGAGATACACATGTAAAACACTTGTATACTTAGATTAATACATGAATATTTATTGAAAGAGATTATCTTTTTATCATAAAATGACATGATTTATCAACTTCTTACCAACATTATTTTAAATAATAAATTATATTCATCAATGCATTTAATATGATATTGAATATTTAATATAATTAGTTTGTGGGAATATTTTCATTAGAACAATAATTTTGGTATTTTTATTAGAACATAAGTCCCTTAAACTCAAAATTTAAAAATGAATCAATTTAAGTCCTGAGCCAAGTTTCTCAATTAGGTCATTTATTAGATTCTCATAATTAGTTTTTTCATCTTCTCCAGATGATCTCTGACGTACATTAATGAAGGGTTTTAGCAATAATGTTGGATCGACCTAAGGTTTTCTTCCTCGATCATTGTCTGACATGTGAATATCTCACTTTTGTTTTCCATCTTCTTTTTGTGTTTCTTCCTCATTGCTCATATTCTCAAGCTTTATTTTGCAAATTTGTGTCTCTTTCAAATATTCTCTAGGTACATTTTCTTTATTATGTCTTCTATTAGTTTTTCTAGTGATTCCAGTGCTACATCTTTGGAAAAATTTAAGAGTTGGTTCAAGTTCTCTTAGAAGAAGTCGAAACGGTAAAGTTTCTCCTATTTTTTGTCTCAAGTATTTGCGGGTTCTCGGAGAAGTGGGGCACGTCCTCCCTCAATTGGGAACTTCATAGCCATGTGTGGTGTATAAATAATGACTCCAATCTGACTTAATGTTTATCTTCCTATTAACACATTATAAGAGGTGTCAACTTCTATCAATAAATATCTTACCAGGAGATTTTTACTTTCTCTAACACTTCCAAAATTTGTTAAAAAATCAATGTATCCATGCCTATGAAAACTCTTTCACAAACAAATTCAACTAAGGGATCAGGATATGGCTAAATCAGATCATGTGAAATGTTCATTTTTAAAAAGTGGCTCAATATAGTATATTGATTGAGCTTCTTTGATTTATCGATGTTTTCTTTACTGCCAAATTAGCAATGTAGATAGTGATCACCATGAGATCATCAGGCACAAAATCATTTGAACTAAAATCTTCATCTATAAAAGTAATGGGAGATTAGGGATCACAAAATGGATCAATCCGCACCGTTTTGGTCTGCTTCGCCTCTAGTTTACCAAAAACAGAGCGAGATGGGTTGACCCATCATAGTTAAGATTGACTATAGACCTCGATCAGTCACTGCCAAAGAACGGGCTAACAGGCCGACAAACCAAACCAGTCAATATCTTTTTAATTTATATATATATATATATATATATATATTAATAATATATCTTTATTTATATAAATAATTTTTAAGTTTTTATTTATTAATTAATATTTTTATTAAATAAATTGAAAAAATTGCTATATTTATATGTTAAAATAATTAATTATAATCATTCATTTAAACCCAATTCCCAATTGAATAATTTTTATAATTTAAATTATAATATTATAGTATATTTACATATTTCAATAACATGATAAAAAATATAATATTTTCAATTATAATCATTTTATTTTTATTTTAATATATAATTATTTTTTAAAGTAGGTTAATCTTGTCCAGCCTTTAGCTCGTCAGATTGACGAGCTAGATTAAACAAACAGATCGGTCGGTTAAAACTATAATCGGTCCCATCGGACCTAACCTATTATTTATGGGAGGTAATGTTCTCGGTTCTGGTGACCGAGATATGTTGACATTGTTTACAACCCTTAAATGTTGTTTTCGAGTAAAACTCACACTTCCTCCTCCCCAAAGCCCCTTACAATTGTGCTAATGACTCATTTGCCCCTCATCATTTAACTGTTTTGTGGATGGTCGGTTGTTAGTTGCTCTTTTATTATAAAATGATCACTAAAGTTGTCAAAACAGGGACCTAACCTATCCTAACCTTTATTTTAAAACAGACCAAAATTTTAGCTTAGCCTAGTCTTATGTTAGGCCAACGAGTTAACGAATCAATTTTAACCTGATTGAAATTTAAAAAAATAACATATCTATACCAAATCAATTAATTAAAAAATATATTTTTAAATTTTATTAATAAAATTAATTTTTTATTTAATATATAAATTATAAAAGAATGCATTCATTCAATTTCAAAATAAGAATTAAAAACTTACTCTTTATTATCATTATTTATGTTTTAGTAATTTATTAATTTAAAATAATAATTAATCTTAATCAATATACCTTGGAATAAGTGAAGGTTAGAGATTTATTATAATATTTACTCTTAGAAGAAGTGAATCCCTTCTTAAATTAATTTAAACTACATATATTTTTTAATAAAATAATATTACTTTTATTTTTATTTAAAAAATAATTATTATTCTATAAAATAGGTTGACCCTATGTAGGTCGTGGATTAAATAGGCAAGATCAAAATAGACTTGATTCAATTAGGTTACAAATTTTTTAGCCTAACGTGGTCTATTTCTCAGGCCTTCCCGGGTTGACCTTTCGGGTCGGCCTATCAGGCTAAACCTATTTTGATACCCCTAATGATCACATCCTTGTCTTCGTCCTTGTCCTCATCCTCCAAAGCGCCCACATCCTCGATTGTGAGAACCTTTGTAAATATTTGAATTGAAACCTTGATCATGTTTGTAATGTTAAATGAATCAATCTAACACTACAAGAAAAAACGGATTTAGCCACCGAAATTAGCGACCGAATTTTTTCGGTCGCAATTAGCGACCGATTTAGTAACCGATTTAATTTTAGTCACATTTAGAGACCGATTTAGCAAACACCTTAATTCGGTCGCAATTAGCGACCGATTTAGCGACCAAAGTATGATTTGGTTTTCATTTTATATTTAGCGACCGAAATAACAACCAATTTTTGTGCGTCGCAAATTTTCGGTCGCTAAATCGGTGGCTATTTCATACATAAATAAAAGATTCATTTAGCGACTGATTTAGCGACCGAATTACAAATTGAAATAGCGACCGAATTAAAATCGGTCGCTAATGAGAAAATAATCAATGCTTACAGCTGATTTTTGCAAAATCGCTCAAGCGAAAAAAGCAACGCTCGAGCGACACCACCTGCACAGAAGTGACATTCTCGGGTTGTATTTCGCTTGAGCGAAACTACTCTCGCTCGAGCGAAATCCGATTCAAACATGAATCATCCATGTTACATTGACACAGGTCAACATTCGCTCAAGCGAACATAATATCGCTTGAGCGAACATAATAAGTTTTAATTATGAACGATAATAATTCGAAATGATCGATCATAATTCAGTGGATATAATAGCGGTTCCACCTTAACCGCTATCTAAAGTGTATATTAGATAGCGGTTAAGGTTTAACCGCTATTAGAAGTAGTTTGTAATAGCGGTTCCGAGTGGAACCGCTATCACATACAACAATATTTTGACTTTCTGATCGATCAGAATTTCAAAATGATCGATCATATTTGATAATTTTTTCAAAGAATGAATGATAATCGATTAGTTTTCTAAATTATTGATTAGAATTGATTAGTTTTTCAC